ATCTGTATCTGTATCTGTATCTGTGTCTGCATCTGTATCTGTATCTGTATCTGTGTCTGCATCTGTATCTGTATCTGTATCTGTATCTGTATCTGTATCTGTATCTATATCTTCTGTATCGGTATCTGTATCGGTATCTGTATCGGTATCTGTATCTGTATCTGTAAATGTATCTGTATCTGTATCTGTATCTGTATCTGTGTCTGTATCTGTATCTGTATCTGTATCTGTATCTGTATCTGTATCTGCATCTGTATCTGTATCTGTATCTGTATCTGTATCTGTATCTGTATCTATATCTGTATCTGTATCTGTATCTGTATCTGTATCTGTATCTGTATCTGTATCTGTATCTGTATCTGTATCTGTATCTGTATCTGTATCTGTATCTGTATCTGTATCTGTATCTGTAGCTTCTGCTCCACCCGTATCTGTATCTAGCTGTAGTTGTAGCTGCAGCTGTAGCAATCCGGTGCGCTTATTGCTTGGCTAAATGCTTGTCAGGCATTTGCAGAGCGCTGTTTGATTTAATTATTAGCCAGCAGCGTGTGTTTCGATGTGTCTGTGTGAGTGTGTGTTCTGTATCTGTGTCTGCTGTCTATGTTGGTTTGTTTTTAGTTGAAATGCTAAAATATTTCATGGCACATTTAATTTGTTTACAGTTTTCTTTTAACGCTGCCAGGCAACCCGAATTATAATTAACGTATATTAAGCAAATTGTTTATGGGAATGTGAATTTTCGTGTTTGTGTTTCTATTTGTGTTTGTGTTCGTGTGTGTGTGTGTACTCACCGTCTGTCGCAATGTGGCGCTGGTTAATCCAAAAATCATGCCCACAAATTGCACAAAGAGTTCGCTGCGTGTCTGTGTGGCGGCACCTGGCGTTGCCTCTGCCCTTGCCACGCCCACTGCCACTGGTACGGGCACTGGCTTTAGCTTTGCCTCCGTCATTGGCAAGTGCATTTGCACGCTATTCGGGTATCAACTGGAGCGCCCGGAGACCACATAGACGTATTCGGCTTTTGGCCCGTATACGGCCACGTTCATCCGCGGCCGTTACGGCCAACCGGCGTTTTGTAAGCGAACTGAACGGAACAACACGGCGCAGAGCTGAACACGTCGCCTGCGGTTGCGACGGCAGCAGCASCACCACCAGCAGCACCACCAGCTGCGGCAGCAACTGCTGCGACGGGCGTTTGATGAAAAAGAAAAACTTTACGCAATGATCATGCGTTTCGCTTTTCGTTCTCACATTATTCTACAGTTTAACATCTTCTTGTGTGACTGTAGTTGTGGCCGTATCTGTATCTGTATCTGTATGTGTGTGTGGGTATTGGAACGAGACGCGGCACAGTGGCGTCCACGCATAAAGTGCACAGCTGATCAAATGCAATGCTGATCAATTTTGAAATGGAAACAATTCCACTGCAGTGTAAAGCCCAACTTCGACTATTTTTCTATATTTAATTATAATTAGAAAATATTCTATAGTCATCCTTAATTATTTAACTATTTAGTGTCGAAATACTTTTGCTTTCAMTTTAAATAAATAAGTAAAATTAATTTCCTCTATTTATAAATTTAATTTATATAAAATAAATTGATCCCTGTCTTGTCTACGTTTATATATTTTAGATAATTAAAATACAAAGCGCCCAATAAATTCATTTAATGACTTTTGGCTGGTTGTCAAGAAAACATTCGTCTGATTAATGTGCTGGGATGAAAGAGCCTGTGACACCTCAAAGATGACTCAATTATCTAATTCTAATCAGATTAGCCGATGAGATGCAGATCTTGTTGACTAATAGCTGGTCTAGGCACCTTCTGAGGTAAGCTACTGTAAAAGTGCCACACACATACGCATAGAGATACAGATACAGATATATATAAACAAATATATTTTTGCCACGCTGTCTCCCTCTATCTCTCTCACTCTAWATAAACAACAACAACAATAACAACACTCGAGACAACTCAAAGTAGTTTTGGGAATGAACAAGGCGAAGAGGAAAAAAAAAGCACAAATGAAATATGAAAAGTAAAATATGTGTTTGAACAAAAAATGAAGCCAAAGCAGCGGAGGCGGAGGGGAGGAGGTAGTGGAGGAGGAGCAGGAAAATAGCAGCAGATTGTCAGTTCATCGATGGACCCGAGGCTACAAGATGCTGCAGCCAGCGACAGTCCAAAGCAGCAACAGCAAGAGCAACAGATACTTAGATACAAATGTATCTATAGCCTGCGTGCAGCTAGTGTGCCAGAGTGCCTCTGTGTGTAAGTGTGCGTGTGTGTGTGTGCGTGTGCGTGGATGTGCCGTGGCCTCGTGGACTATTACAGAATATTTTTATTGCTGCGTCGCGTCAGCTCCACGCACAGCGAAAGCTAGAAACTCGGTCTCTAAAATTCTATTTTTGAGTTCAATTCTTGACAGCAACGAAATAAATACAACAAAAATTGAAATTTGTTTTGAAAACTTATGGTTTGTTATTGCGTTTCAGCGTAAATAGGAAAATGTCATTTAATTGTTTTTGCAGTTTTCTTTTCATTTTTGTTTGTATATTTTTTTGTTGCAGTTTTATTTTTTGTGTGACTTTTCAGATATTTTTTTTTTTTAGAATTTTTGCAGATATATTTATTATTTATTTTTAGGATTTTTTGGTTGAGTTTTGCGGCAATTCGCATTCAATTGCTAATTGCGCTTTAAACGCTAATTAGCTGTGTTGCCCATTTTATAGACTATGTTTATTTGTGCACTTTTTATCATGAATTAGTTGTTTTTTATTTGGCGCTTTTCATTTGCATTTTGATTTTGGTTTTTCATTTTCAGTTCGAGTTTCAGTTTCGTTTTAATTAAATTTTGATTGCACGCACGCGCATTTTTGCCATCGCCGTCATATCAGATGCAATTTTTTGGCTTGTTGGCGACGTCACAATAACAATGCACAATGCACTCTCACTCACTGACACATAAACACACACGCACACTCACACATATACTCATGCACACTCACACTCATACACACACCTGCAATTTGTACGCTGTGCACTGTCAGCGACTACGACTGCGACTACAAATTCTGACAGCCTGTTGGTTGAGTTGACCACGTTCGCGATGCGAATTATAATTGTTACTCTCGCTGCTCGGTGTGCTGTTTTCACGGTTCGGGTTTTCATATACAACAACAGCAATAGCAACAGCAGCAACAACAACAACAAACATTCAACACTTAGCCACAAGTCGTTTCATCCAAAAAGTTCGCAAAAGCAGCGAAAAGTCGCTGCTGCTGCTGCTGCTGCTGCTACGTTTGCCTTAGCTATAGCTCTTGTGGCTTTCATGGAAAATGGAAAATGTATGACACACACATACACACACACATACACACACACAGACATGCCCCCTTTACAGACACACACTCGCATATTTATTTAGTACCTATACCTAGAGCTCGCCCACACACACGCTTATAAATGTTGTCTGTCTGTTTTGGCTAATCGCGTATTTTGATACAGCCTCCAACTAAAGAGCCTGCACAAGGCAATAAATATTAGTCACACACACACACGGACAGTCTTGGCCAGCTTATTAACTACACTATAACGAACTGTTTATATACACACATATACATGTATATATAGGCCCACCTATACAGTTGTTGTACCAAAAATTTATATATTCAAATACTTTTCTTTTCAAAATATTCAATATTTATTTTTGGATTTTTGTAAGCCATTTTAATACGGACTCGAACATACACTAACCGAGCGCCAAGTCATGCTGAATAAATTGTAAAGCTTGTTTAATTTCATTAAATTTTGGCTCTTCACAAGCTAATAAACAGCTTAACAGACAACAAAATTCATATTCCCATTCAAATTCAAGTGGGATTCTTATCAGCCTACAAGCGCTTTTCCCCAATTGGAACGTATTAATTCAAGCATTTGCCTGATTCTGTATACGCCCCGTCTCACCCTCACTCCCAGTCTCTCTCTCTCTCTCTCTCTCTTTCTCTCTCTCTCTTTCTCTGTTATGCATAGCTTTGGCTTGTTATTTATCCATGGCCCATCTCTTCCTCTTCTAGCCCAATTTTATGGGCTAATATTTTTGGAATTCTTGAATTTTTGTTCGCTTTGGCTGCTGTTTTGGCTGCTGTTGCTGCTGCTGCTGTTGGTGGTGTTGCTGCTGTCCGTTAAGCAAATACAAGTTGTAATTGTTGTTGTTCCGGTCAAATGAAGCGCACAGCTGTTTTGCTTTTTTTCGGAGGTTTATGGGATTTGATGCGAGGCGGTCAAGCGCAGCAATTAGTGCATTCGCAGTGCCTGATATGCCTGCTCGGCGCATACACCTGGCTGGCACTCGATGGTCTGCTCTGTCAGGTGATCAATCCCAGCGGCAGTGCAAAAAAAGCCATTCGCAGAGCACCTGACAGCCAACTAAGCTGCTTGAAATTTCATTTTAGTATTTCACGCTAGAAAGCCAAACGCAAAAAAAAAAATATATACAGCGGAAAAAAAACAACAACATTTATATATTTGTGTATATATATCTATATGCTTAATGTTTGTGAATGATTAATGGGACATTAGAATTGAAATTGTTTTGCTTGTGTGGCAGGAGCCGAATCCCAGGCAGGTGCAACGCCAGCCGAGACTGGGGCTGGGGCGGGCGCTGCGGCAAGGGCAGCCTCTCTCTCTCTCTCTTTCTTTAGTTTGCCATAATGTACAAATATTTATATGCCTTTTTTTCTTTCTGCTTTCTCTGCACTCTTTTACCCGTTCCCGCTGCAAATGGATGCGGCCTTCTATGAGCAGCTGCTGGCTGGCWGCTACCTGCTGGCAGAGCCGCAGCCAAACAGGTGAGTGTTTATAATATGCATGCCAAAGTGTAGCAGCTGAAATCTAGAGAAAATAGAAACAGCAACAACAGCAACACGGCTAGCACATAAGCACATACTGGCCTAATGTGGCATAGAATATAATATAGTGTAGTATGTGCTTAATATCCATAATTATAGTTATTGTATCTGCATACCCTGCAAGTGAATGCTGAAAGGGGTATGATGAGCAGTCGATATAGCTAAGGCTTGATTCGAGTACTCAAGTCTTCAAGAGCTGCATAATATTGTTAAGATACAAGTGAAGCTGAGCAGTAGATTGTGGGGTTGCATATTTGCTAAAGTTGACATTGAAAAATATAAGAAAATGCAGAAAATTAGAAGAAAATCTTCAGTCAATATAAATTCCACAACGAAAACCTTGAGCACTAAGACTGAATTCATGAGAATCGCCTAGAAGGGCATAATATTATGTGTATATGTTTATATGTGAGAGAAAAATAAATGTGTAAACATGCTCTAAAGCTTCTCTACTTCCAATCAAAGCATGACGGCAAACAGAGCTAACCAGAATTCATGAGAATCGCCAAGAAAGCCAGCTTGACACAATGTATACATATACAAACATGTATATGTATTTGTATAAAGAAATACAAATACACATACGGCTTATAAAATCCTAATAGAAAACATATGGGCCTCACTTTACTTTCATGAGAATCGCCAAGAAAGGCAAATATTAAACAATTCTTTCTTTTGAATTGGCAGCGCTGCAAAAAGTAAACTTTCGCCTGCTTTTGAAGCGTATATATACAGAACATTTGCTATACATACACTTGCATATATACATGTGTGTGTATTTGTATTTCATATTTTCATCAAGGGGCGACTTCAGCTCATATTGCTGTTTACACAAGTTTAATATACATCATAGGAATTTGCTTAAGTTCGGCGGGCGTTTGCTAAATACATGCTCAAGCCGAGGTGGAAGGGTGAATCTGAATGTGGTTACGTATGTGTGTGTGAGGGGAGGAGGAAACCTTAGAGAGCATATTCGAAAGGCCAAAACCAATCCAATCTCCAGCTGTTATTCGGCAGTTCGTTTGGGGAGAACTTTGCCAAATTGCAGAAGCCACAAGACCGAAAAACAGTTTGTCAACTGAGGCGCTGCGGTATGCGAATTGTCAAGGGGCACCAATCTAAGATTGACTAAGAGTTTCTCAAATTTCTTAATAAACTTTAATGACTGCGGGTGTTGCAGTGTCAGCTGCAGTTGTTGCATGCCTCCATTGTTGCTGCAACCGTTGCTGCAACTTTGATGAAACTGATAAACCGAAACGCCCGAAAGTATGCAACGGCGACGAGCAAGTTGTGTGGACAGCGAGCGCTATAAACCAGCACCACCCTGGTGCCTGTTGGCTGGTTGGGTGGTTGGGTGGTTGGGTGGGTGGTTGCCTGGTTGTAGCACTAAAAGCAGGTTGAACATTTTTCGCCAATATCAAATGCGAGCGTAGATTTTCACCAATAATTTACTTGGCCAGCACGTAGCGAGTGTCACGCATGCAGCGGTTGGGCATATGGAGGCGGGGCAGGAGGCGGCTGGCGGCGGCTGGCGGCGGAGGCTGTGTGGCATGCAACAGACTTGGGTTACCAGCTCATGCATTACTCATGATGTGGATGTCAGCAGCCTGCTGGCCGAATGACTGACCCACACTCCATCTCCTCCTCCTCCTGCTCCTCCTGCTGCTGCTGCTGCCCCCTTTGACTTGCCTTCAAATTGTCTTTGCTGCCTGCCACACTTGCCACACTTGCCGCACTTGCCGCACTTGCCGCATGGCAACTGTTTTAATATGGACGCTGCGGTTTTTGCCGTTTAATGGAGTTGCCCATAAAAAAAGAGACAGAGCGAGTTTATTTTAACTGCCGACTTGTTTGCGCAAATTAACACATTTATTTATGCCACAAATTTGTTGCTTAAATATTTATCGAAAATAAAGCCGAGTTAACATTAAAAATTTGCGTTTATTTCCATACACATTTAATAGATATATATTAATAATAATAATAATAATAATAATTATAATAGTATTATAGTAATAATAGACGAATTGTATCACACACACATATGATATGGCTTTCAGGCAGGCGCTCACAAATACACACATGCACACACGCACACTCACACACTCACACTCACACACACACATACACAGACACTTACACATTACACTGACAGCATTGGTTAAGCGTTTGAATAGCGCGTTTATTTCGTTTAGGAGGAGTGGCGCCTGCATCAAGCTTAAATTTATTTGATTTACTTTTATTTTCTTTTTTGGGTTTCCCATTTGAACTGGCTAAACTCGTATATCGTTCATTTGTAAATTCGCTGGGTGGTTGCGTGCCGTGCCAGGAGCAGCAGCGCGAGGGCCAAGCAGCCGGAGCAGAGCTCGGCCAGCGATGAGCCGCTCTGCAGCGGCAGCTGCTCCGACTCCAGGCACAGTCGGAACTCGTCGTAGTCCAGCCGCGTGATGGCGCAATAGTGATTGAGCATGCACAGGCCCAGGCAGGGCGAGCCGGACTGATATCGGACAGCATTGGCGCGATGATATCTAGAGCAGATGGAGCAGAGCATAAGACGGAGCTGAGCTGGGCGAGCTGGGGTACTCTTTGATTACCTGCTGAACCAGGAGGCATCTCTGCCCGTGAAGCGCTCCGCGAAGTTGTGCAGCGCAATCGACGAGATCTCGGCCAGCGCATAGTAGTGCGTCAGGTTGTACTCGGGCTGCCAGAGCGGCTCGTGGGCGCGATTGGCCAGCGGCAGGTCGAGAAAGTACTGCGTGTAGTCCAGCACCTGGCCACTGCCCGTGTCGAACTTGTAGAGTCGCAACGCTGGATTGGAGCCACCGAGGCCCTCCTTGCGCGGCACCACCGACGGCGCTATCATCAGCCAGGATATGGGCGTGCCTGCAAAAGCAGAGGTGCATATGGGTCACTGGCATTGCCCAAGTGCTGTCCGTCGGGAATTACCTTGATCGTCGTAGATCAGCCGGAAGGTGTCCGAGTGCAGATGCCCAAAGAACTGGCCCTGTATGACAGACGCGTATCTGCGCACCAGCTCCAGATAGCGTTGATTGTTTCGCTCCGTAAAGATCAGCTGGCCATTGTGCTGCGGCCCCATGTTCCGCTCATCAACGCCCGGCGGCATGTGACCCACTATGTAGACCTAATGGGAATATTTAGGGCATATATATACTAGAGTTCTTAAGCTAAATCAATCGGTAAATATTTCAGTATCACTCCATCTCCTGTCGCACTTTCTTTAGCATCATGCAGTTATATGCTATCTCTTTCTGACACTCTAATGTCCTATCTCTTTCGCACACTTTCGAGAATATTTCTGTAATTTAATCATTTCTGCCTACCGTCTCCTGTTTGTCCCTGGACTTGGCCAGCACCTCATCCAGCCAGAGCCACTGCTGCTCGGCCTGCTGCTGATCCTGCAGCTGATCCTGGATAGACATGGTGCGACTCGAAGCCTTCGGCTCCACGGCGTATTCGGCGGGCCAGCGCAAGCTGTGCGCCGGCTTAACCTCCGTCTCGTAGTCGTATCGCATGAAGTTCGTGTTGAGGGCGACGATGCGTAGGCGGCTTCTGGTCTGCTCGATGGAGTAGTAGCCGCCCAGCTCGAAGGTGACGAGCGCGTCGGTGGGTAGCCAGTGGCGCCAGAGCTCGCCCATTTGCTTGTACTTGTGCGGGCCGCTGCTGCCGTCCTCGTGGCCGAGCACTGGGAAGATGAAGGGCGAGGAGAAGCTGCGTCCCAGCAGCTCTGTGATGTTGCGCAAGGTTTCGAGCTGCTTCTGCTCGGAGAGGGCCTGGGCGGAGTGCGAGAGTGCATCGCCCGTCCACAGGACAAACTCCACGTTGTCGCCCTGCTTGGCCTTCATGGTCTTCACCGCCGACTCGACCAGGCTCCAGGGACTGTCGCAATTGTAGTGGCCGAAGGGGCCCGGCGACTCCGTTGCCGTCTCCTGCCGCCCGCCAGCGGGGGAGGCGGCCGTGTGCGGCAGTTGCCAGCAGCTCTTGTATATGTCGCCCTGCGTGGAGTAAAATGTGTCCAGATGCAGGTCGCTGATGTGCCAGAAGTAGCCTGCGAATGCAGAGTGGAGAAATTGAGAAACTCTGAGGATTAAAGGAGCAGCCCATTGGGCAAACCCTGGGCGGGAAATGCCGGTCGGCCGGCTGGCTGTAAAAACCCTTGCATACAAATAGTTGGCCTGGCCGATCGACTGACCTGACAGCCCTGGTTCAGCTACCTGGCCGAGAGGTCAAGAAGTCACTTGATAGACAATGCGAGCCATTGAGTTGATCGGCGCCAGAGCCAGCAAATCAGTTAGCGTTGGCATGCGCACTGATCAATTTGTAAGCGAGAGCGTGAGTCGAGCTGAGAGTCAGGGAGAGACAGGAACTAGGACACATAACCGCCCGGTTATAGAGAGAGAGCGAGTCCGGCGATTGGGATTTGTATGAGAGCAAGATGAGTTTGCGCTTCAATTTGGCGCTTCTGCTGATGCTGGCCCTGCTGACGCAGTTGGTCGACGGCAGGAGGAAGCTATGTGGCGATGCACTCAACGAGGCCCTTGACCTGATATGTGTTAATGGATTTTCACACAGAATCAAGCGCGATTGTAAGTACCAAAGCCATTCAATCAAATATCAATTCAGCTACTCAATGCCAGCTTTAAAGCGGACCGAAGCCGACTGCTGCTGGTACTGAGGCAACAACTGGACACCGGCGAGCAGCCCCAGGCCCCGGCGGAACGGATCAATGGGGCCGGCGTGGAGCGGGTGCTGAAACGTTCGCGGCGCAGGATAACGCACAAATGCTGCTGGGATGGATGCACCTACGACGACATTCGGGAGTACTGCGCCTAGCCCAAAGGAATCGACTTGATGATGACGATGGCAACAATGATGATGGCAACACTGATGATGACAATGATGATGACGATTTAACTGACAAAGCAAAACCAAAAATTTCACTCAACTACATTTAACCCCCTCTAAAACAAAACAAAAATATATTTTTAATTAAATTCGCAATGTTTTATTGTAATATTTCATGGAAGCAATAAAGTTACTCGATAGCAATAGCAACAAACAAAAGGCATCTTTTGGCCCAAAGACTACCTCCAGCCAGGCATTGGACCCCACGCTGCGCGGCAACAGCTCCCGTCCCCATCCCCAACGAGCCCAGTCCACAGAAATTTCCACGTCAATGGGAATGCTATGCCCTTGCATTCTCGGAACAATAATGAAAATTTTGAATTTTTAATTAGATGACGTTGTTATTTTAATAGAACAACAAGTAGCAAATGGGGTTACGACGACCCCTCTATACTCTAAAATTGCTAAATTGAAGAAATTCCAACAGAAATAAACGAATTTCTATGTGCTAATTATAGAAACACAAAGATAACAGCGCGAATGGCGCTCATTAACATAGCAGACTGCCTTAACAGACAACTGTTAGCTGCAGCAGCTGTCTTCTGTTAGCTGCAGCTGTTTGATATGTTATAATGGCTGTTCACTTAACAGCGCACTGTTAAGCCTTTGAGTGGGGCAAATATCGAAAGATGCCAATTTGTTTATGTTTTTTTAGCTGGCTTAGTAGTCTGTAGTGGCCTTAATTTGAGAGAAACTTTAGAACACACTGTAAGAGCATGGGTAAAAAACATTATGCGTCATGTGAGTGGAGACAGGGCGTGGCAGGGCAGGCAACACTTCACTTTGTTTTTCAGCAAAATGCGATCTATCTACGCGTAATTATTTTGCACGGCACAACATAAACAAAGACGTCAGCTGATATGAGTGAAAGCATCCCACATAAGGCAGCGAGGCTAGTCCCCCCCCTCAGGGGAACTGACACTTGACCTAACACTGGCTGACAGTACGAGCTGGGTGGCTGCAGTGGCTCCGCTTAACATATAAAATGCTGCTGTGCCGCCAGCCAGCTACCAGTTCTAGTTGGTTTATATGCGAGGCAGATACGAGCTACTGGAACAGAACAGAAACCCACTCAAACACCATGAACTTCCAGTGCTCCAAAATGCAGTGCCTGCTCTGCGGCCTGATGCTCCTCGTGCTGCACGTGGAGGCGATAATGCTGTGCGGCCCCAAGCTGGACGAGTTTCTAATCCAAATGTGTAAAAACGGCTTCAACAGCAAGATGAAGCGCGGCTATGGTGAGTAGGCTCTCCCCACATGAACTTCATTCTTCATTCAGTTGATATGGACGCTCTGCAGTCGGACCCAATGCCATTGATGCTGTGAATAGTGACTTGGATTTGGACAACTATGGCGTCTACCCGCATATGAATCTGGACTCGCAGCCTCTGATGCGCGCCCTGATAAGCGAGAGTGCCCACCAATTGCAGATCCGTCGACGTCGATACGGCATCCATGACGAGTGCTGCATGAAGTCCTGCACCTTCAACGAGCTCCTCTCCTACTGCAAGTAACCGACCCAAAAAGAAGAAGAAGAAATACTTTTACCCCTGCGAACTTGATATGGACAAGGCACTGCATTCCACTGTGGCTTAGACTAAGACCAGCTCCTGTTTGTCAGCTTCTAAATGTTTAAATATATAACTACTAAACGAACTCTAGCTCTATGCGAATATTGTTTCACAAACGTAGAGGATATGCTTGTACAATTTATTGCTAAAGGACATATGGCAAATTTAATAATATAAATTTATGCTTCACAATTGAAGAGGGAAACTGTTTGTAATCCAGGCTGGAGTAAATCATCTTGTCGATAGCCCAAGTGGAATTAATTACCCATAAATTATTTTATACTGAATCGACATAATTTGAATAGATTTGAATTCTCCAAAGTTGCTAAATGAATTGTTCAGGCCTGAAAATAAAGTTATTTATGTTGAATGCGAATATTTGCTTAGCAGCTCTCCAGTTGGAATTCTAGAATATGCAAGCATATTATTTGCTTTCACATTGAGGTTAGTTCAGCTGCATTTTTCAAATGAATTTCGTACTCCATGCAAATTCATGGCAAATGCAATTTACAGCCTTGCCTTAGTTTAGCAAACGAAATATCCTTTTTGTTCACTTTAATATCTTTAAGTTCAAAAGTCGACTAGAAATGCTTGAAGAAAGTTTAACTAGTCCAATTCTGAATCAGTACAGTCTCCTTCTTCTTCTTCTACTACTCTCTCTCTCTCTCACTCTATAAATACGAAAAACTTCGTTTATTGAATTTTATTTATGCAGTTGGCTTTTATTTTGAAGCGTCTATAATATTAATACAATATGTGGCTGGCACAAGGTAGGGTAGAGTTTCAAGGTACTGTGATCGCGTTGTTTTTGTGTGGGTGGTTGAGCCTGGCTAGCCTAGCAATCTAGACGGCGCAGTAGGCGTTCAGCTCGGAGAGCTTACACGACCTTCTGCAGCACTCGTCGACGATGCCCTCCCGGGTGCGGCGCCTGGTGGAGGTCAGGGAGTTGAGCACGTTGTCCTGGTAGATGTTGCGCAGTCGGCCATTGGTCATGGGATACGAGAGCAGCTCGGCGGAGTTCGAGGGCAGCTCCTTCTCCTCGGTGAACTGAATGGGATCGAGTGGGTCCAGGTCCATGAAAGCTAATGAAAGCCGCGCCATCAAATGGGAACAGTTAATGCCGGCGCACAGATGTTGCCCGATCTAGATACTCACGCATGCTACGCTTCTGGATGATGCGATTGAAGCCCCTGGTGCACATCCTGCTCAGCATGTCGTTCAGCCGCACGCTGCACAGTCGCATCTCGTGGTCGGCGCTAACGGCCGCCAGGATGCACAGCACACAGAGGAGGGCCAGAGACAGCGAGGAGATTGACTTGCACATTGTACTGGGATTAGGCTATGCTATGGAACTGATGCTGCTACACTCGCGCTCGCACGCTTATATACCGTAAGCCACGACACTGTCTCCGATAAGCAGGTGTGGGCGCTGCCCAACTACGTGGATGTCAAATTGTGTTAAAGGTTATTGGGACAAGTTGAGTGCATTTTCGAGTAGCTACTTGCTAAATTCGTTCAATGTCAGCGTTCACTTTTCGTTGGCTTATGCAAATGGCGCCGCTGTGTGGGCGTGGGCGGATGGAGTGAGTGGGCGGTGCTGTGGTGGTGTGGTGGTGTGGTGATGCTTACGTCTTTGTCAGCCAATTAAACAATTTGGGTGCCAAAGGACAACATAAGGTCCTGGCGTATGCGTGCAAAGGCTTGCCTTGCCTGCATTTATGAATATTAAATGAGTTAGTCGGAATACCCTGTAGCCAGCGCTAATTACAAGCGGGCATACAAAGTGATGCCAGCTTTACGGCACTGAGCTGCTCTGAGCTCCTAACTGGCTAATACAAATTTGTCTCGCCCATAACACTTCATTGCGATTAACCTTGCCCCACTCCCGCCCCCTTCCGGCCATTTTCCGGGAAGAGTTCTCTGCTTGAAACGAGTCTCAATGTTGCGCAACATTCGAGCTACCCATAATCACAAAATTTAATGATGGTTCCTCTGGGGAAACATTTCAAACAGAAAAACAAATGAATAGCAAAAAATGTACTTTCTCTTAAAGCAGATTTCCCCTTTGCATTGAATCGTATATGCGTATGCGAACAGTAAAGTAGTCCCGCTCTGGGTTAAAACTTGAAGCGAGTGCTAGAGCTGGCAATACAAATTCATAGCATACTTTTTGAAAGAGCCAATTGCTATCCGAGTGAAGAATGACGAGTTAAGAGGAGAGAAAGCGAAGGAATGACGAGCAAAGAAGAGAGACTGCAAAGGTATTTGACATAATAGAATAACAATAGAGTTTAGAGTGCTGCAAATGTAAAAGTTTGTCCATATATTTTGTGCCATTAGAGACTGACCTAGTGGAGCTTTTTATTTATTTTTTATTTTTATATACATATGTAGAAACTTGATTTTTGGGCAAATATTCTAGAGTCTAGAGACCCAAACGAGTCTGATATATATACTGCCTGGTATTCAAATATGTCCCTGCTTAAACTTATTGTCTCTCATAGCAAACGCTCAAAGATAGTGATGCACTGAGACGAGAGACAGGCAGTCGATGGGGGACAGACAATGACATATCGACTCTGCGCGTTGATGGTAAACATGTTGCCCTTTGTGAATGACTCTACTATTTTACATCGTAGCACAAACACAGTAATACCCTCATACTTATACTACCTAGAGGGTATGTAGGAGAGAGCAGAGCATTATATGGGGCTTTACCTTTAAGTAGATTTCATATCACAACAATAAGTAAGCCTCTCTCCATACCAAGCCAAGGCCAATCTTTGGCTATCACACTAAAATATTACATTTACAGGGTATGTAGGTAGTCAGAGCAGTTGACTTGCTCTCGCCTTCGCCCTATTCTTACTTACCAATGCGGGCGCTGGCCTCATCTGGCAGCCAGAGCAGTGGCAGGAGCGTGGTTAGCAACCAGCCCAAGCTGAAGCTGAAGCTGGAGCTCGAGCTGGAGCTGGAGCTCGAGCTGGAGCTGGAGCTGGAGCTGTAGCTGTAGCTAAATATGAAGTTAGTCATTTAGCTGCCGTTGCTATTCGACTGTGGGACGTGTGTGGGGACGGTAGGCGTGTGGGGCAGGTAATGGAGCAGGAAGCGGCTCTGGATGTGGGTGTGGAGCAGGAAGTGGAACTGGAACTGGAAGTGGAAGTGTTTGCTGCGTTGAAATGGAAATTTCTTGCTAACTTTTGCTTTAGCTTTCTGCTGAGCCGTGAAACTTTTCTGCACAGTTTTACTTTTATTCATTAGCTAATTTTGGTGCTGCATAAATAAGTGATTACGATTATGATTACGATAACGAATACGATTATGATTGCGATTAACAAATAGTATATATGTGTGTGTATGTATGTGAGTATATGCGTATGTGTATGTGCGTGCGCCTCTGTCCGTCTATGTCCTCGACTAGCGACAATAGGCCAAGAGCTCGGACCGAGTGCAGGAGTTGCGACAGCACTCGTCATAGATGCCGCCGCCCTGTCGCCGCAGCCGTCGCGTCTTGATCAACACCTCCGCCCCGTAGAGGCTGGACAGGAGGGGGCTCAGCGCAAAGCCCTGGTGTGACGGCTCCAGTCTGGGATCGCGCTCCATTGGTATCGTGTTGTAGCCATTCACACAGACCATGTCCATGGCCTCGTTCAGGGCGGGGCCGCACAGCTTGTGCTTGCCCTCGCGCAGCAGCAGCGCTATGTTGCTGGCGCTGCAGCAGCAGCTGCCCAGAGCGATCAGCAGCAGCAGCAGCAGGCAGAGACGCTGACGTCGGCCTGTGGCAGTTGCATGAGGGTCGTACAACATTATTGCGGACGGCTGTTTGAGAGCGTTTGCCTAAATGCTGCCAGCAGCAGGCGCTATTTATACAAGCCTGCCGCATGCAACAGCAACAGCAGCCGCAGCAGCAGCAGCAGCAGGTTCAATGCACTTTTTGGTTGCACAAATATTTGGCAAAGGAGCAAGGAGTGAGCAGTGCGTAAAGCCGAGTCAGAGCTAAAGGCAAGCTAAGGCAAACAACAACAGCTCACACCAGTCAGCCAAAGAGAGAGAGAGAGAGAGTGAGTGAGAGTGAGAGGAGGAGAGCTAGAGGTAGGCAAAGATGTTAACGCTAAAAGGCTGCGACTGCTGCTGTCCCCAAGGATTACGTTTGCTGCCAATGAGGCAGGCGACAGCCCATGTGGCAGCTTCATTAGCATGCCGAGGGGGGCCGTATGTGTGTGCGTGTGTGTGAGTTGCCTTTGCCAGGTGAAAAGTATGCTTCAGTTGGCTGCTCGAACCGCTGAGAGCGATTGCCAATCGATAGTTGGCACTGCGCGCAGCTCCGCCCGATTGTGGCGCCAATCGGTGGCAACAGTTGGTCGCCAACGTCACAGAGCAAACGGTCGCACTTGCAGTCGGTGTGGTGGAATTCCCATTGTGTTATTCAAGCGATTCAGCAGCGAGCAGAGTTCAGGAGTCCGCAATATGGTGATCGATATCAAAATGTGCCGCTTTGACAATGTGCCCTGGGGCTTTCGGCTGGTGGGCGGGGCCGACTACGACTATCCGCTGACTGTGGTTAAGGTTAGGCACGYTCATAATAATAATAATAATCACGGCCGATGATCATTAACGCGTGCCACCTGTGCTACCTGTGCMACCGCCGTTGCCACTGCGGCTGCCGCTGCCGCTGCCACGGCCAAAAGTGACCGCAACAAAGGCCAACAGCCTCGCATGCTGCTGTGCATTACAGTTATTGTTGCATTAACTTTTACTCTGTGAATTTGCCGCAAATTAATTGCAAATATTTCAATGTTCGAGCCAATTATGTAACTCTCTGTGCGTGCGTGTGTGTGACTCTGTGTGCGTGCGAGTGTGTGTGTTTATTTATTTGAATTTGCATTTGCATTTGCATTTGCATGCTCATTCGTTCGAGGGCTTATTTGCAAAATTTTGTTAATTAAAGTAAACTCAATGCAGACTGCCAATGGCTCTCTATCCGTCCGTTCGCCAGTCCGTCCGTCCGTCTGTCCGTTCGTCTGTCTGTTTACCTAATCGGCTGGCCGAAATGCATTTTTGTACTAATGAGCCGCATAATGCGAGTGCAATAAATTAAATTCAAATTTTCAAATGCGTCTGCGATTCATCATTAACAGACGACGAATTAGCAATTGTGTTGAAAGACAACAACAATAACAACAACAACAACGACAATAGAAACAACAACAATAGCTAAAGCTATAGCAATATTCGCTTATTTGCAAAAATAGCAACAATTAAAGTTTTTTTAATTGCCAAACTGCAACAGACATACATATATATATAGATTAATGCTAGCGAGGGCTGCTTAATCGGTTGAGTTAGAATATTTAAATGTTTAAATTATAAAAAAAATATATA